AGGAGGAACAATGCGGTTTTCGTCCTGGCCGTGGAACACTGGACCAGCTCTATACCCTCTTCAGGGTGGCGGAGGGTTCATGGGAGTTTGCCCAACCAGTCCACATGTGTTTCGTGGACCTGGAGAAGGCATTTGACCGTGTCCCTCGCAGCGGCCTGTGGGGTGTGCTAGTTAAGAAATACTCCAGTTTTTCAGAATTTTATAATGAGTTCCAGCCCATTGTTTAGCTGTCTGCCCACAATTCCACTGTGTTGGTTGTTCATTCTTAGTGCTGTCATAGTTTTTTCAGCCACAGAGGGAAGCTGTTTGTACTGTATGCTACCTGCTCAGCAGAAAATAGCAAATAGACAAAGTGGGTGCATCTTAACTCTTTTATAGGATTGTTCTTCCTTCCTTGATCCTCGGTTGACCCTGAAGTCATTTAGGTCAAGCAAGGATTAAGGACGCCACAAGACTCTCATATCTGCTGTGAGGAGCGAGGATTGAAGGCCAAGGACGCTGCTGGAGGAGCCATGAGTGAGGATACATGAGACTGTCCCTGGTGGAAGTCTTTAGCCCTCTACCAGAAATCAATTGGTGACTGGACACTTCAGATGAAGGACCAGAGGAAAGGGTGTATCCTGTCCCTTATAACATGTTTATTCGATTCCTCTCTCCTCACATTTTTCCTTGTATATTTTCTTCGCATCTGGCATACATGGGACTAAGACACAATGAAAAGACTTGGGATGTTCCCAGAGACTAGCTGATGAGTAGCTTGTTTCTGCTGCCCCCAGTGGCCACAAAATCAGATCATACAGGTTTGAAGTGAATGAACATGGATGAATGCTGTTTAACTTTGGAGTTTCTCATCTTTGATCTTGGTAACTACAAAGGACTCACGTGCACAGGCATGCATGTGTGTAATCTGATATAGTGTCCTACAAACGTTTTCACAGTCCAGCAAACATAAATATGAATAATGTAATCTGGTAAATTTAACTTCAGCCTGATTTTAAGAGATTAATCAGTTTTCAGAACAATTGCAGATGGATTGTCTGTCAATATACAAATCAGTTAATTGACAAATCATTGCAGCTCTAGTTTGTACTGTACCCACAAACTTAAACCTACAGCAGAATTAGTTTTTCAGTCTACTGTAGACACAGTAGAATCAGTATTTCAGTGTTCAGTTTTTGAAAATAGACGAAGCATTTCCCTTTGCCACAGCCACCACTGTTACCACTTGGGACATCTATGACACCTTGTGCAGCCCTGAACAGGATGAAACCATGCACAGCCCTGAACCAGAGAAGGCCAGCTACACAGAGGCTGTTGTGGACACTGATAGAGGTACAAAGCAGAGCATGTCAGTGGGCAGCACAACCAGTACAGGTAAAGGTACACTGGAGGAACCTAGAATGTTGAGAAACTATTTCCCCCCATTGCTGGACAATATACAGGTGCTGGTCATATAATTAGAATATCATTACAAAGTTGATTTATTTCACTAATTCCATTCAAAAAGTGAAACTTGTATGTTATATTCATTCATTACACACAGACTGATATATTTCAAATGTTTATTTCTTTTAATTGTGATGATTATAACTGACAACCAATGAAAACCCCAAATTCGGTATCTCAGAAAATTAGAATATTACTGAATACCAATACAAAGAAAGGATTTTTAGAAATCTTGGCCAACTGAAAAGTAGGAGCATGAAAAGTATGAGCATGTACAGCACTCAATACTTAGTTGGGGCTCCTTTTGCCTGAATTACTGCAGCAATGCAGCGTGGCATGGAGTCGATCAGTCTGTGGCACTGCTCAGGTGTTATGAGAGCCCAGGTTGCTCTGGTAGTGGCCTTCAGCTCTTCTGCATTGTTGGGTCTGGCATATCGCATCTTCCTCTTCACAATACCCCATAGATTTTCTATGGGGTTAAGGTCAGGCGAGTTTGCTGGCCAATTAAGAACAGGGATACCATGGTCCTTAAACCAGGTACTGGTAGCTTTGGCACTGTGTGCAGGTGCCAAGTCCTGTTGGAAAATGAAATCTGCATCTCCATAAAGTTGGTCAGCAGCAGGAAGCATGAAGTGCTCTAAAACTTCCTGGTATACAGCTGCATTGACCTTGGACCTCAGAAAACACAGTGGCCCAACACCAGCAGATGACATGGCACCCCAAACCATCACTGACTGTGGAAACTTTACACTGGACCTCAAGCAACGTGGATTCTGTGCCTCTCCTCTCTTCCTCCAGACTCTGGGACCCTGATTTCCAAAGGTAATGCAAAATTTACTTTCATCAGAGAACATGACTTTGGACCACTCAGCAGCAGTCCAGTCCTTTTTGTCTTTAGCCCAGGTGAGACGCTTCTGACGCTGTCTGTTGTTCAAGAGTGGCTTGACACAAGGAATGCGACAGCTGAAACCCATGTCTTTCTGTGCGTAGTGGTTCTGGAAGCACTGACTCCAGCTGCAGTCCACTCTTTGTGAATCTCCCCCACATTTTTGAATCAGTTTTGTTTCACAATCCTCTCCAGGGTGCGGTTATCCCTTTTGCTTGTACACTTTTTTCTACCACATCTTTTCCTTCCCTTCGCCTCTCTATTAATGTGCTCAGTCTTCCCCATGATTGTGTAGCCCACAGAACTAGACTGAGAGACCATTTAAAGGCCTTTGCAGGTGTTTTGAGTCAAATAGCTGATTAGAGTGTGGCACCAGGTGTCTTCAATACTGAACCTTTTCACAATATTCTAATTTTGAGACACCGAATTTGGGATTTTCATTGGTTGTCAGTTATAATCATCACAATTAAAAGAAATAAACATTTGAAATATATCAGTCTGTGTGTAATGAATGAATATAACATACAAGTTTCACTTTTTGAATGGAATTAGTGAAATAAATCAACTTTTTGATGATATTCTAATTATATGACCAGCACCTGTATGACCATGACCTCTGTGCAAAGAGGAGGATGAAACCACTGGCTGACTTTGGTATCATTCAGACAATATGCACAGCATCTCTATTCCTCCTGTCATGAGTCACCGCTGAAGTATTATGAGGGGTTGCAGTTTTTTGCAGTTTATTGTAGATAGTTTTGCAACAACAGGCACTGTATGTATTAATATCTTGTATTTCCCTTCAGCCACTGCTGCTAGCTCATTGAAAGACATGGGAGTTTTTGGGAGCAGTTTAAATGCTGAGTCAGACTTGCAGCTCATCTTGTCATCAGAAAAATTTCAACACTGCTTTCTAGTAATGGAGAGAAGCATCCTTAGAAACGCCTTCCAACCTAAGCTGGCTGCTTACAGACAGCTGCCTGTACTAGAAGGTAAACTCAGCTCACATTTATTTCACCTTGGAAGCACGTCATGCCGTCCTCCATATACACATAAATGTTGCCGTGCAACCTTGTGTGATTGTGATCAATGATCGTGTCAGACCCAGACAGTCCAGTGAGGCCTGGGACAGTGGAGCAGAGAAAGGAGGATATAGAGAACTCTAGATCTCCAGCTCTGAAGTGTCTGTGGGCTTTTAGCTGTGAGCTCAGCAGAGGACGCAGTGTCAGCAGTATGGCCTGGAACAAGAAGAACCTGGTAACCCAGACACACCTTCTACTGTCAGTGGAAACAATTGCTGTTGCTGTAGACCCGTGTTTTATCACAGCTGTCAGTATTGTAGGATGTCTATTTAATGGTGTTGACTAAACATTAGCAATGTGGGAAAAACTGAATACAGGTCTCCATCATTTCTGCAATATGTCATTACAGATGAGAACAGATGTTAGTCATCACTGTTCTTTAAAAGTTTTGGTGCTCAAAGCATTCAAAAAGGTAGATTTAGAAAGGAGTAATGTGTCTTTCCAGAAACAGTATCCAGATTGTGTTGGATCATACCCAGAAAGCCCCTCTACTGAATAACTGTTGACAATGAAATCTGTGGATTATCCAGGTTAACTAAGACAGTGTTTGGAAGCCATACTGTTTGGTTTTGAGTGTTTGACATGGCCTTTTTGTAATGCTTTGACCAGCAGAAAATAAAATTCCATTCAGATATTCGTAGTGGTAAGTGAGAGAGCTGAGCAATACTGTGCCACGCACAACATCAAAGTTGTCTAGCAGGCAATTACAGATGAATCTTTAGCAAAGCCAACTAACACAGTTAGTAACCCTTTCTGATCAGTAGGCAAATACTGACACTTTTATGGTTCTACAAGTCATTTTTGCTTAATAAGTTATAAACCTAGAATGAACTCTGTCTAATCAATTTGATGCCTGTAGCGTAACTAAGACTTATTTTGTGCCTGTGCTCTGCACTCTCTGCTAGGACCTCTTGGCTGTGGGTTATGGCGAGCTTCACTCCAGTAACCAGAAACCAGGCTTGGTGTGCTGCTGGTCCTTCAAAAACCTTATGGTATGACTTTATTTGGACCTTTTATTTACTTCCAGACATTATGCTCCAGTGCCAAATGCTGCCGACATCTGGCCGTAACTCACAATGTTCAACAAGAGTTTAGTTCATCTGGGAGTTTCAGCTGTCATGTGTCTCCTCTGCAGTGGCCTGAGCGTGTCATCCACTGTGACAGTGCTGTGACTTCTCTGGACTTCTCATCCAACAACCCCAGTCAGCTGGCTGTGGGGATGCATGATGGCACCATTGCTGTCTACAATGTACAGAGTCAAATCAACATATCGCATGTTATCAGCAGCAGGTGAGGGCTGTGTGTGTGGCCAGTGCAGCTCTTACGTGATACACAGAAAATAAACACCCTACATACTGTACGTTATTGCTCTTTTTTCTTTGCGTGTGTGTGTGTCTATGTGCAGTAAGTGTCCCGATAAGCACTTGGGTCCAGTGTGGCAGCTGAGGTGGACTCAAACAGAGCTGAGCCTAATAGAGGAACAGGTCGAATCTCTGTCCTCTGTGTCTGCGGATGGCAGGATCTGCAAGTGGTTTGTCTTTATCAGTGACCTCAACTGCACAGGTATTGTCCTCAGCAACTGGCTTTAGCGTTGTCAGTTCAGCTTGAAGTGGGGAGTGATAAACTGTAGGAATACACATGAAATCAGAAGTAACCCATTCCCAGACTTGTTGTATAACAGCACTAACATAAAGTAATTCATTTAATCTAACAGAACAAATGATAGTAAATGAGGCATATTGTTATTATTGCATTATTGTTCATACCAATTGTGTATCTTTTGTCAGAGCTGATGAAGCTCGAGAGGGTTCATAACAAAAAGAAGAAGGCTGGAGGGAACGGTACAGAAAAGAAAAGTGTTTTGTCAGAACTGACTCCTGGTCTGTGTTTTGACTTCCATCCATTAGTAAGTCTGTAAAAGCGTATCAGTAGAGTTTAGAAAGGCTTCAGCTGAGCCTACAGTCGATCATGTCGCTGTAGAAATCTACAGTATATCACTAATGGAGGAATGTGGCTGTGAAGCTACATATTGTATAATAATTACTGTCGTGGACAATTGACACAGGTGCACAGATTTTTATATGGCAGGTTTTAGGTGTACAGGTTGTGTGTTTCTCTCTTTGACTTCATACAAGACTGCTTCTATTGTCATCCCGCGTCTCTCCTGCAGGACTCCGGTCTCTACTTGGTTGGTACATGGGAAGGTCTCATCCACAAGTGCTCCTGTTCTAACAGTCAGCAGTTTCTGCAGACCTACAGGAAACACTTTGTAAGTCTTTTAGGATAAACGCCACCACTGCTGGCTTAGAGATCCGAGGCCTTTGCTTTTCATTCCACACTAACCTGAGAAGGTCATATTTCATTTCTTCAAGTGTGAGCTTGTAAAATTTATAATTCTTTATCAGAGCATATGAGCGGAGTGGAGCGGTGAGAATTTTGTACTTCTCCGCTCACCCTCTCAGAGCTACACCAGGCTACCCTCCTCATTATTGCTCAGCGCTCAACTTGGACTGCATCCTGCTCTGCTCAGATCACACCCACTCACTCCAAAAAAGGGGGAAATAATCTTCATATATCTAACTTTTATCTTAAACTGTAGCCTGACATCCCAAAGAACTAATGAACGATGACAGCTTTTTTCCAGTTAGGAATGATTTATTTCAAATTACAGTTTTCCTGTGTAACAAGGAATATAACACAAAATGTTCTGTGTAAAATTCAGCGAGGCAGTGGGCCTAATTAAATACAAATGTACAGTATACCTGTATGACCTTCCAGGTTCTTTTTTAAAGTACTTAAGGAGGTCTGTTATTGAGCTCACAATGGCCGATTTCTGACTGAAAGTATTGGATGACTGTTCAAGACACAGATGCATTCTGGGTCAGGCTTGGTCATGCTTCAGGCTCATGGTGTGAACAGTACTGGAATGAAATTGGAGTGGGACACAGGCCAACGCTCTGTCCCTTTTAAAAAAAAGCCACTCTGCACTTTGTCCAAAGTCCGCCCGCTCCGCTCACATGCTTTGTTCTTTGGCCCACATTGCATTGCTTACTAATCCTTAAGCTGTTTCCTCTAAACATGCAAGTGATGCTGCTACTCTTTTATTAGACCAGTTTTACAGGTAACCTGTAACGTGTCCTTCGTGAATAGATCAAGTGTACTGCTTGTATCACATATTTTATTGGCACTCGCACAGTGATGTACAAGCACACCATGAGCACAGTGGTGGCATTCCTTCTGACTAGACTCGATGTATCAAACTGGAAAGATCTCACCAGTTACAGCTACAGGTAGATGTGCATGCCAAAGCACCCACTGCGTTGGGCCATCTTAGATCTTTAGATCTTCTTCTTTGTTGAGTTCTGATGTTGCTGAGCTTGTTACTGCAGTGGGCTTTTCCCTGCCACAGGTTGACTGAACAGTATCACCCTGCTCCTTCTCAGTGTCCTGTGAACTGCATCGCATGGTGTCCACTCAGTCCTGAACTGTTCCTGAGCTGTTCTTCTGACTGGACCATCCAGCTGTGGAAGCAGGACCACTGTAGCCCTGTATTAGGCTTCAGCTCCACCCAGGGGGCAGTGTACGACATCAAGTGGTGCCCAAAGTGGGCCACTGTGTTTGGGGCCATTAAAGAGGGGCAGCTGGAGATCTGGGACCTCAGTGCAAACATGTGAGTCAGACTGAGGGAGACGCTGTCTGTTCTGTTCTCTGTCTTACTCAGTTTCACCCTGTTTGTATCTGTGACATATGCTTTGGCCCACCTACAGCCTGGACCCAGTCATTGTGCAGCCTGCTGCACCTGGTGTGACCATGAAGTCCCTGCTGTTTCACACACAGTCAGACTGCATCCTGGTAGGAGACAGCGCTGGACATGTGACTGTCTACCAGTTGAAGAACCTCAGAGCGAGAGAGAGCAACCAGGTAAAACTGGAATGGGTTGCCAGGTAGAGGCTATAAGCAAAAGCTTAGGGGTGCCAGGGAACTCTGTGGACACACTGTGGCTATGAAGATTAAATAAATGTTGGCTGAACTACTAATAACATCTCCCCACAGTCATAACAATAATTTAAAAAAAAAGAAAAGATAAAAAGTTATGGGGGCAGCACGGTGGCACAGTGGTTAGCACCGTTGCCTCACAGTGAGAAGGTTCCAGGTTCGGGCCCCACCTGGGACCTTTCTGTGTGGAGTTTGCATGTTCTCCCCGTGCTTGCATGGACATGCAGCTTAGGTTGATTGGTGTCTCTAAATTGCCCATAGGAGTGCGTGCGTGTTTGTTCGTCTATGTGTGTTGGCCCTGCAATTGGCGACCTGTCCAGGGTGTACCCCGCCTTCGCCCGATTACCCCCCCCCCCCGTTTTTCCGCTCCCAACATCAAAGTGTATCTCTGCATCTTTTCTTTCAGGTGAATATCCTGGAAGGCCTCATCAGCTCTGCAGCTTCCAGACAGTTTTGCAAAACACAGCCAGATAAAAATAGGAGTATACCAACGGCATAAGTAATGTAAGTGCATGTTGGCATCGGTCATTATAGTGAAATGGCCTTGACTTCTGAAATCATCAAACATCATAGTGATGACTGAACTTGTCAAGAATGAAATATCACAGTCCTGTTCAAATAAAAGGTTGTTTTAATGTCAGAGTTTCTGTTCTTCCTTTAAGCATCGCTGCAGCTCAGAGATTAGAAAATCTGAAAAGTGTCCCGAATAACTAATGGCAATGTCCATATCCACTGTTGAAAACATTAAGGAAACACTAAAATAACACACTGGATCTTCCATCCATCCATTTTCTTCCGCTTATCCGGGGCCGGGTCGCGGGGGCAGCAGTCTAAGCAAAGATGCCCAGACTTCCCTCTCTCCAGACACTTCCTCCAGCTCCTCCGGGGGAATGCTGAGGTGTTCCCAGGCCAGCTAAGAGACATAGTCCCTCCAGCGTGTCCTGGGTCTTCCCCGGGGCCTCCTCCCGGTGGGACATGCCTGGAACACCTTCCTAGGAAGGTGCCCAGGAGGCATCCGAAAGAGATGCCCAAGCCACCTCAGCTGGCTCCT